TTATAGGATTCTAAATATAAACCCCCCAAAAGGAACCACTATGGGGCCTATGGGTATGGGGCAAAGGTCCCACAGTTCGCGAAGGCCCCGGTTTTGCTTTGATTTGAACCCCTCTGAAGTGTGGCTCTTCGAGTCTCGGTTCTCTTCCTATGTGTTGCGGTCGCTCCTTACAGTTGATCAGATGAAGCAGGGTGCTTTCATTGTGCAGGGCTACCGAGTGTCTACTGATACTGGGACATCTCGACTAGCATCCCCGAAGCCTGTCTTCAAACCCATGTTGCCCTAGACTCTGCAAGACGCGGTGTCAAAAAAACAGCAGCCTCTTACCACACAGTATTTTCATTGGACCAAAAAAAGTGCTTTGATGTATGCTGTGTTCCTTACTTGCGCGGTATCGGTCACTTTGGGCGGATTCTGCCGCATCCCTCAACACTTCTGAAGATGGCTTCATACAGAAGCTTAGTTCCCATAGCCCAAACCATGCAAATTTGAATCAGCCCGAAACTCTGGCTGATCCTAGCCGTCCTAGCCCTAAACCCTCATTAGACCGTGCAAATCCTAAGGACCAAAGCCATAACGCAGGCCCCACCGCAAGCTTGTGAAATCTCGTCTGTCAACGCTGCTAAAACCATACATAGCTGCATAACGCCCTCGGGGCTAGGGTTTAGCATGCAACCCAAGCCGCGAAACTAAGGTTTAAATGGCCCTAAATGCCTGAAGGCTCCTATCATGAGTGAGCAACGAGGCCAGACTTAAGTGGCCTTGACCTCCGTTATTCTTCGAGGATCGACCCTATGAAAAAAAGCCTGAGCTCCTGAACCCTAAACCCTAAATCTTATGCTCACCTGTTGAAGGAAACCCCAAACCATAGGGCTCCTTTTGCGAGTCCGAGGCATCATGGCCGTGCAGGGAACGGAGGCCCGAACCCGGCGTCGCTTCGTCGCCCCAGGGGGGCGGCAAATCTCAGGCCCACATCGGGAGTTGGCCGGAGTTGGCGTTTAGGACAAAGTCGACGGTGAGGGTTTAGGGATTACCAGGAATCTTCAGAGTATCCTCCAGTGAGGCCTCATAATCCGTGAGGCGGGTGCTCGGGCTCTCCTACCTATGTATGTATACATGTATGTAGGATAGCTTCGGGTTTAGGGAACCCTCAACCCTAAGCCCTAGGGGTTTAGGCTTTCGTGTAGCATGTAGCATGTTGTGGTTATGGCCCATGGGATCTGCTCTGGCTCCAGGTGTTTTGGAGCAATGCTCATGTGACTGGCTTAAGATTAAGGGTTCAGGGTTTCGGGTTTAGGATTTAGGTTTTAGGGTTAGGGTTTAGGCTAGGATTCGGGGTGCTGGGATCTGTGGGGCTTGAAGATTGAGAGAACAAGCGCAAACAAGGAAAGCTCTAAGCCCAGAAATCCCAAGGTTGTGAACCGGGAAGCTCTGCACCCCGAGGCCCTACAGCCCCGGAGCCCTCCAAACTTTAGGGTTCAGGGTTCAGGAGTTTGGGGCCTTTTGGGCTTTAATCCGTTCAACAATGAGAGCCCCAGATCCTGCAAATATCCGACAACCCTCAACCCTATACCTTAAAACTCCCCAGAACCTATAGCCAAAGCCCTGAAGCCCTCAACTCGAAAAGTTGACCCCTGAACCACATAAACGCTAAGCCCTAAACGCGAAGCCCCTAAACCCCAGAACCTTGTCTACAGGTCTTCAGTTCGATGGACATCAGCTCGTTGGGATTCATCTCGAGCACCGCAGTGGCATTTTGTTTGTTCAAGTGGTTTTGGGTTTGCGGTTCAGAGTTTAGGGTCTAATATTGGGGCCTTGATAATTACCTATACTAATTTTGGGGGCTCTTTATTATGATTATAGTATAATATGCCCCCAAACCCCTAGTCTAATTATTAAGGCCCCTACATCAGGTTGCAGGGTTTAGGGTTCAGCGTTTGGGCTTCTAGTTTCTCTGCATGTGCTTAGGCTGGGTGCGCCTCTACCTATAGTCTCCATTATAGTTCCTTTTTGGGGTTACCTTATAGGATCCCAAACATAAAAAAAACTGGTTAAACCAAAAAAAGGAACTACAATGGAGACTATAGGTAGGCCCCAAGCCTGAGACCCATACACTCTGTAGAACCCCCCCAAACCCTACGATCCTGCAGGCTATCCTCTAATCCCTGGAATCTTAATTTAGGGTTTAGGGTTTAGGGTTTAGGGTATTAAGCCCTGCCAGAACCCCCCAAAGACCCCTACATTTTCTGAGTAACCGTACGTACAAAGGCATCATAACAAGGGGCCTGTCACACGCAGGCAAATAGCCCGCAGGAAGGAAGGACCCGGCAATTGGAGTTCGGCCGCAAGACAGGGGAGACACCAAAGCAACGCCTCGCCAACAACAACAACAACAACAACA